GCTGAAGAAGAGATTTGGGGTAGGGCAAGGCTGAGGGCAGTGGGTTGCGGGGAGCAGGGGGACTGTGGGGGAGGCTGTTGGAATGGGGGCAGGGACTGAGGGCAGTGGGTTCGGGGTGGGAGGTACAGGGGGAACAGGGTCAGGGTGGGGGCTGAGGGCAGTGGGTCGGGTGAAATGATCGGGGGGGAGGGACTGTGGGGGAGGCAGAGGGAACAGGGTCAGGGGGGCTGAGGGCAGTTGGTTGAGGGTGGGGGTACAGGGGGGACTGCAGGGGAGGCTGAGGGAACAGGGTCAGGGTGGGGCCTGAGGGCAGTGGGTCTGAGTGGAGCCCCCCAGAGGGACCTGCCAGGGGGCCAGGTGAGCCCAGCAGTGCTTACCTGGAGCGGCTCCCAGGAAGCATCCAGCAGGCAGGTCCCTCCCAGTCCCTCTGGCCCCTTCCTAGGGTCGAGTCAAGGGGAGGGGGACAGGGGTGGGGGGGGCTTTCTGCCTGGCGGCTGCTGCCTGCTGCCGGAGTCTACAAGCCCTGCCCCGCTGCAGCACGCAGGGGAGTGAGATCTCCCTGCCTCTCTGTGTGCCGGGGCAGCGGGAGGGCTGTGCTCTGCAGGCTCCTGCTGGCCAGGAGGGGGGCCCCGTGGGCTGACACCGCCGCGCCAGGAGCTCAGCTGCGCGCTGCCCCAGGGAGGGAAGGTGAGCGGCGCTGGCTTGCCACGGTTCCCCCAGCGCGGCTGCCCTGTCAGCGCTTTTGGGTCTTTAAATAGCCGTCCGGGGGAAATCCCGGACATTTTTAGCTTTTTACAAATTCCCCCCGGACGGCTATTTAAAGACCCAAAAGCCGGACATGTCCGGGGAAACCCGGACATATGGTAACCCTACAGTAGTTTAGAACCTAAAATTTTCTGTAAATGGTTCTGGCAGTGAATATTTCATCTACATGCAAAGCTGCTAAAAGCGTTGCACCATAAAATTTCTTCCAAGATCATATACAGTAAGTAAAACAGAATTTACAAGTGGTATGTGGTGAACACCAATAGTGGTAATTCTTCAAGAAGAGACTTGATATTTCAACGGTAAAAATAGTGCCTCTGGCCATTATCCATCAATAAAGCAAGACAGGAACAACCCACATTTTTCTTCTAAAGCCAACTTTAGAGGTCTGAGTTTTGATGAACAAACAGTTCCTTTCAGTAGCTTGACACTTAAAGCAAATGATTTTCTTTTAAGTAAACTGCTAATCAAGTTTTAAATATTGTGCTTGGGCAAACTAGTTAAAAATACTATCTAAACACAGTTACAGGCTTCATCTGTATCTTTAGTCTGCAGAAATACTTCAAGAATATCATACCTAATTTTTGATAGCTACTTCACAACTAGATATGCATTGCTAGTTTCTAGCTAAAATAAAGTACATCAATGATCAGTGGCAGTAAAGTGAAATGTATATAATTAAACATAAAGTGAAAGTGTCAGATTAACTAATAAATCTCACGACTGGAATATTGGTGTAGAGGGTTATAACTTCAGGAAGGACAGTCAGGCTAAAAAGAAGGTATTGCATTGTACATCAAGAATATATGCATTTGTTCTGACCTCCAGAAGGTGGTGACCAGTGAAGGCCCTGGTTGAAAATAAAAGGGAAAAATACAGGGATGCTGTCCTGGTAAGGGATTTCTATAGATCCTCAAATCAGGAGAAAACAGAGGAGATATTTCTAGAACAAATAATAAAATATCCAAAACACAAGGTAACATACCTCACTGAGGACAAAGGGGCAGTTTACAATTCCAAACTGTTGTTCCAAGCTCTCTGTAGACTCACCAAAACATCTCTCCATTGGTTAAACTAGTTTGCTTTTATGCTTTTTTCCAACTATGGTAACTAGCTTTATTTTAAATGAAAGCTGAGATTCTAGAGAACAAGACAGCAGTTTGAGAGGTACTGATAGCTGTATTGCTGCATATTGACATGATCCTAACCCTTGCTGCATGCGTCTCTTGAACAGAAGTAGACACTAGCTGGTTTCTTTAGTAAGCTTTCTGCCTAGGTGTGTGAGACTGCAATCTGCACTGGCATTCTTTCAACCTTTTATTTAAAATCATAAAAGCCACAGATTTAAAATATTTAAGTATTGCAAGCAAATATTTAATCTGGGCTTCAATTAAATTAATTTGCATTTTAAATCATACTCTTGTTCCAGGTTTAATTATTGCTGTTTTTTATAGTGTAAAACGAGCCTTAAAGGATGGCTTCATCCTCTGACAACCACAACAATTTAAGATCCCTTGACACCTTGAGTTCTCTATTCTAGATTGCATTTAGAGGAAAGAAACTTTGTATGTCCCTTGTACCGATATCCATATAATGAGGCATCTGAGTATACTTAAAACGGAATACAAAACCTCTTAAACAGCACTTAAAAAAAAATGGGTTAAGGAAGAGGCCTTGGCAAGCCATTCCAGAAATTAAGGGTTTCACTTAATTAATCAAGGGTTTCATTCTTTAAGTATGGAGGATGGAAATAAAACAGGCT